TGTTTCCCTTGTGGGATCTGGGTAGCGACGGTATGTGATCCATCGCAATGATCTGGAACGGGTACGTCGCCTGCAAGTTCCCTGGTGATTCGCTCCGGATCACCGGTTTTCATTTTCCTGTTTCACAATCCACACACTCTCCCACATATCGCTGAATAATCCGGTATAATCCCCTCCAGTGGAAGTGATCCCTGATCCGCTGGTAGGTTCGCCCCACTCCATGATGTCCTCCTTCCAACGAGGTGTGACACGTCTGATTGTAGCGTTTTGGGAACTACCAATCTCATCAATCGGTCGCGATCATCTCCCGATCTCGGCGTGGGGGGGCAGTAAAAGAGTGGGTCCTGCTCGTCTACCTCGTAGTCGGCCGCGAGCTTGCCATACGATCTTGCTTCCGCTTGTGTGAGATCTGCGATTGAACCACTCAGATACTTCTTCATGCCGGCGATCCAGACTTCTTCCTCTTGGGCCTGCTTGATCCGATCGACCCGGATCTCCCGGATCAGATCCTCTTTCATGACACCCGCAGGTGATCTCGCTTGACCAGCCCGAGTGGTAACCGCAGCAACTCGCACCACTGGATTCTCGGTCTTGGGAATCAAGATTTCGTCTAACCGGTTCAGGGTGACCAGATCCTGGTACCCGGGCATCTCCTGGACCTCGATCCCTCCTTGTCGTTGCAAAGCGGCGCTCGCTAGACTGTCAGCACTTCCGTTCCAGTCCCTCTTGACGTGCACCAACTCATGATCACTCCATTTCCTGAGGCGATGGAGGGCTTTCCGTTTCAATAGCGTCAGTCCGGGTGCTTTGCTCTCGATCTCACCCCGTACTTGTCGGATCACTAGGTTGGAATCCCCGCAGAGATCTAAGCTCTCTAGCATGTTGAGTCCCAGGATCAGGCTGTTATACTCGGCTTCGTTCACAGTGAGGCTCTCGAGATAGCCTGACCTGGCCTTGACCACCTCCCATCCGGGACGACTCCACACGATCGCACTGAACGCGCCCCCACCGCGCTTAACTCGGGCGGATCCGTCAAAACTGATCACCCATAATTCCTCGTCTCGATCTACCGTGGGAATCGGTGCCTGGATCCGGCGTTTAGGTTCTTTCCGGGGAGCGATCTCGGTCAGAGCATCGTCGATCTTCGCCCTCGGCGTGATGCTAGCAGCGATCGCCCCCAGTATCTCATCGTGCACTTCGTGATCTCGAGCGTCCACGAGGCCAGGAGGGTGGACCATTGTCCTAGGTGACCCTGCAATCCCGTCGACTTGAACGGCCAGGCCAACGTGGAATGCCTCGTTAGGACCCGGATCTCGCGTCCTACTAGCAAATTGTAGTAGAGATCCAAGATCCTCAGCAACGCCAACACCTCCTTCTCGGTCACATTGTAATTCAACTAGTTCGTCTTCAAGGTGCGACTGGCGAATGCCACCGGGTGGTAGATCCCGTCGTGTTCTTGCGTCAACGAAGCGGATATCGCCCAATCACTGGCATATACGATAACTACCGGCGTTCTCGTCTCGTCGAAATGGCGGAGGACTGGGGTCGTCGGGTTTTCAGGGTGATGAAGGCCCTATGTGCCCGGATCCACCGCTCATCCACTGGTCCCGTCAACTTCAGTTCCGGGGAGCTGTGATCTCGAGGAATCAGGTCGTTCAGGTCCATGATTTCCCTCAGATCCGATCGTTTCTCCCGTTCTGCAAACTCCACCTCGCGAAATTCATAGAACACCGAAGCGTAGATAGCATAATCTTCGATGAATCGGCTGTAGTAATTCAAACTACCCAGGAATGACTGCATAGATCGAAGTGACCCGGGGAATGGTAGATCGGTCAGGGATTTCAGGTCTTTCGGGTTCGCCTTCAGACCTCCGATCGACACTCGGTGTCCCAGATATCTCACCTTATCCATGCCCCAAAAACGCTTGGCTACACTGATCGACATATTCCACTTGTCGGAAGCCTCCAGCAGATCCTCTACCCTTTGGCACTTTTGATCCCATGATCCCGCTGCGATCATGATGTCATCAATGTATGATCTCCGTCCCAACACCGACTCGCGAGCAGGATCGTCCGCGATCCCTGTTTGGAACACGTCCGTTGTAGCTCCAGCGTCGCCGGCTTGCGAGATCTTCAAAATTCCATACAGTGCGTTTTCTACGAGGCGTTGATAAATCTGCGGGGCATTATTTAGGCCAAAAGGCACGCGGCTCCATTCGAATAATCCAAACGGGGTGATAAATGCCGAGATCTCGCGAGCCCGATCCGTCATGGGTACGACCCAGAATCCGATGGTCATATCCAGCGAACAATACCATAGCGTTTTATCAAGATCCTCCAGCAGATAGCTGATCAGGGGCATCGGATAGACCATCAATCTCGTGAGGCTGTTTACCAACTTGTAGTCAATACACAACCTGACATCTACACCTTTACTCTTGCGAACAATCACGATCGGTGAGGCCCATGGCGATGTCGAGGGACGGATGATCTCGGCTGCCAGGAGGCCCTTGATCAGGCCTGTGACTTTTTCCCGAAATCGTATGGGCACTTTCCGGGTTTGTAGTGCGATCGGTTTCGCATTTCCCATATCGATATCACATACGACGCCCTTGGCCGCCGGGGGTAAGGCGTTCC